GCGTCGTTTCCTGAGGAAAAATGATAGAAATAACTATCTAGCGGTGTTACGAAGATTAGTTCACCCCCTGTGGACGACAGACAGTATGTGGAAGAGTCTTTTTGCCAGTAACATGCCAATCGTAGCATTTGTTTTGAAATCACAGTTTACCAATGCACTTAGAGATGAGGCCATTCAAAATGCCTGGTTGTTTGGCTTAGTATGTTTGGTACACCTGGTTTAGTTTGTCATAGTAGTGCATACAAACCACCCTGGCAGTGATGTTGAAGCTACACCACGCCCAAGGTCAATGAAGATATCTATATAACAGGCCACAAGGGCTATCTAACTTCATTTAGCCGTGGACCAGTGACAGTGACGTATCACCTCAAGCCGCTCCCGTTTTCATCATGAATAATCCACGATACAAACTCTTCATACCGGATGCTGATAAATGGACACGGTTTTACATGCTCAGGGCTGAAGGGAAAGGAGACCCTTATTATTCTATGTCTGTCGATCGATATTTGGAACTGTATGACCCAGAGTGGAAGAAAGACAAACAAAAAACCAGAAACCACAGAGCAACCTAAGATTAATTTTGTTACCCCTACCCAACAAGTGGTCGAACAAGCTAAAGCCAAGTTGAAGAGAGAAAGGGAAAGTGTCGTCAATAGGGAAAACACAAAGCGAATGAAAACATATTTTTGAATAGAGACGAAAGGCTAAATGTGTCATTTGTAGTAGGACTGTTGACGCGTCAAAATCATTATGCATCCCTATGCTCCAAACAATATGTTTGGGCTCATGACTTGTCCCGTCATATTCGAACAAAACATCCAAAAGATATCATGCAGCAGCAGCAGCAGCAGCAGCAGCAGCAGCCGTCACCACTGACACCACAACCACCACCACCACCACCACCACAGCAGCAGCAGCAACCAGTGCAACCACATTCATCAGAAAGTATTATCCAGTCATTGGAAGAATGTAGGCTGCGACATCCATTCACCATGATCGTCTCAGGGCCAACCTCCTGTGGGAAAACCTACTTAGTGAAACAGATTCTAGAAAGGATGAACATTAAACCTTATCCTGAACGTATTATATGGCTCTACAAACGATGGCAGCCCTTGTATAATGCCATTCAAACCCATGTTTATCCCTATGTGGAATTTCATCAAGGCATTCCTTCTGATCTCGAAAAGGATGCATTTCTGGACCCCCATGTGGTGAACGTGGTTATCCTCGATGACTTAATGTCGACAGCGAGCAAAGATCCACGCATTACAGATCTGTTTACGGAAGGAAGTCATCATCGTAATCTCTCAGTGATCGCCTTGAACCAGAATTTGTATTTCAGTAAGGATCCCACACAACGAAAAAACTGTCATTATCTGCTTCTGTTCAACAACCCTATCGATCAACAACCCATCATGACTTTGGCGAGGCAAATGTATCCAGATAACACAGACCATTTCATGGAGCCGTTTCAAAGGGCTACCCAGAAGCCTTATGGCTACTTGTTGGTTGATCTAAAACCCCAAACACCTCCCCATATGCGACTTTGTCCCAATGCATTCAGTTTAAAAGGACACCTCCAAGCCAGGACAATTCAGTCCGAGTTAGATGTTCAGCGTGAGCAGACGTGTGAAGAAAACCTCTCAACCATGCCATCTTGTGATGCCTGTGGACTCATGTTTCAAGATGTGCAAGATTTGCAAAAACACAGAAGAAACTGGTGTCCCGAAAAGTCTTCTGTGGGTCCTCCTGGGATACCCCAAGTGAAAAGGCAGTGGGAGGAAGACAACAACTTCTCACCTGTGAAGAGACCACGTCCTCTGGTGGACTGCGACTATTGTGGTCAAGTGTTTAGCACTAACCATAACTTACAAAGACATTTACACGATAAACAATGTCCTGAAATGGAAAATGAGGATGATGATGTTGAATCATTAAGCGATGTCACACACAACAGGAAAAATATGATGGCTGATCTTGAAGAGCAAGGTATAAGACAAATGTATTCACATACGCGTGAGCTGAATAAAGACTTTTTGGATGAGAAACGACAGCTGTACATAAAAAGAGGTTTAAACAAAGACATGATTCAAGCCAAACTGAACAAATTGATGTGGAGCACGTTTAAAGAGACGTATGCCCGATTTATTACTTATCTGTACCATATGCAGTATGGTCCAAAGACACAAGGAATACTGAAACAAGTAAAAGACACAAATAATATGTATCATGAAGTGATTTCAAAATTGTACCAATATAAGTCTTGGGTCGAAGGCATGACTGAAGATGAAGACATAACATCTGATGAAGAGAGTGAAGGACAGGTGGATGAGGAAGGGTAATAAGACAACAGATGTAAAGTAGGCATTTGGGAGAGCTCCTATCCTAATGTCTACTCATTTGAAACGGAGCTAATAAACAATGAAATGTGTATATCTCTCTTGTTTCTTAATGTATTGTACCCCTGAAGGTCTGGGTTACCCTTCAGTAACCCATGCTTGTCATAAGAGGCGACTAACGGGATCGGGTGGTCAGGCTCGCTGGTTGACACATGGCACATTGTGTAGAATGACACTCATGCTGTTGATCACTGGATTGTCTGGGCAATTATGTACAGACCACCGCCATAGAGCTGCTAAGAGTGTACTAAATTCACTGAATGTATTGCTGGAGGATTGACATAAGACAACTGTTGTACAATTCTTGGTTTTTATAATACCAATTTCAACCCTATTTCACTGAATCCACATATTCTTAACATGATCATACTATTATGAGACATAAAAGATAACAACAATTGTAATGATCTGTAATGAATATATTCATATATAAGCGTTTTGGACATGTAGCCATTTTGAGGCAGAACCGTTTGCGAACCGTTTTGACCAAGTTTGACTGAACCGGTTTGACACAGAACCGGTTTTTAGGCTGAGACACGTGTGTCCCTAAAACCGCGCGAAAATGTCTTTGTTTGAGTGAGAGCACATGGGGGTCTTTGTCTGAGTGAGAGCGCAGAGGCAAAGGGTGGTGCGACGTGTTACTCTGTGACTTGATGAATTATAATACACAAATGTGATGGATGTATTGTGGATTTTTTAACTCTGGACTAGTAAGTCGATCTATGCAGTGTCCAACAGTATTTCAAGCACGTTGTTTTCATGGTCTGGATGCCTTTAACAACGTTATGGGTGTTACATAGCACACAGAACGATTGTAAAAGTATTAGTTGATTTTCGTATGAATAGTGTATATCATGTACATTTTGTAATACATGCTAAGGTTGTGTTTATTCTATGTCTTTTGTATTTCTGTAGTCATTGTGTATTCCAAACAGGAAAACAAATTGTTTGTCTTAAGACATGTTTTTTTGGTGTCGGATTGTCCAGGTAGTTTGTGTTGCTCATTCTACAGGGATTCTAATATTCTGTATGCATAGCGATTCTACAGGGATTCTAATATTCTCCACAAACTATGATTTCCACGATTTTCATTTTTTACAATTTCAATAGTGTCATTGGGTTTCAAAATGGCGGCGGGGGACGCGATCTATGACCTGGTTTCTTCAATTGGCGTGAAGACCGTCATGCTTCTCGGTTCATTGAACGTAGGGAGAGGCAATGTTATGGCAGAATGAACATGGCACACCTCACTCGGAGGCTGTCGCAAATTAAAAGAAAGAAAAACAGTATTAACATTGACACTCGGTAACATGTATTTGAAGTTATTTATTTTTCACTCCATTATACGCTTGTTTTCTTAATCTTCATGCTTGGGTGGGAGAGGGGATTCCCTTCCCGTAAACATAGCTTTGAATGGCTATTGACCTACATTCATGGACATAGGTGTGCTGCTGGAAACAATGCATATATGTATTCATGGAAATATGTGTGGATACATTGGATATGTGTGTGAATCGATCTGTTCATGGACATATGTGTGAAGCTTGTGCTAAGGGATTTCCTATGGATCACATGAGGTAAGTTGTTTCAATTCCCTATTCTGATGTTAGTATGTTTCCACAAATGTGAAGGGTAACTTACCTTGATGTTCTGTTGATGTATAGTTGAGAGGCTGATGAAAATATATATCCAGTACACAGTACACTCTGAGTCTGTTTAGTAATCCAGTGCACACAGTATAATCCAATGAGAAATGCACTCTGGTATATCCACAATGTGTGAAATCACTTGAATGTATATCCACTAGTGACTTCAGAGACTGAGTATGACATGAGGCTGTTTGGTGGGGCTTATATACCAGAGTCTAAAAATACGTTGTGGGAAAACCCATGTACAACATGACTCATACTCTAAATATAGACACACCAGGTGTGCACACAATAGATCTAAATATAGCCCTGAGACAATGACTGATGGTCTTAAATAGACACACCAGGTGTTCACACAATAGATCTCAATATACAATAGAGAGCAGTGACTCATCATCTAAAAATAGACTATGTGAAGTCTAACAATAGATTTTGACCCTATAAAGCCCCATAGCTAAAAATAGATTTTGCCGCCATAAAGGCCCCTATTCTGCTCACACCCAAACTAACGGCTCAATCGGATATAATACTAAGTGAACTCTATGAGTGAGAGAGTGAGTTTAATTTTAGGTCACATTCAGAAATATTCCAGCAGAGACCATATAATATTATATGGTCTCTGATTCCAGCTATATGGCGGCGGTGTGTAAATAATTGAGTCTGGACCAGACAATCCAGTGATCAACAGCATGAACATCGATCTACGCAATTGGGATACGAACCTGACCATCCGATCCCGTTAGTCGCCTCTTACGACAAGCATGGGTTACTGAAAATCAATTCTAACCCGGATCTTCACGTGTCGAAGCACGTGCGAATGGTACAATTACAGCATTATGTAGAAACCAATACGAAACTTGTCAATGTAATCATATATGATATTACCCACTACCTAATATTTCACTTGGAATTAGATCACCAACACGGAGTGAAATAGAATACTATCGTCTTTTCAGCATTCAGATCCTCGACTCTCTATCCACCACAGTGAACCCAGGTTTGAGAGGGAACGGAACCCTATGCTTTTCTGTACACAGATAGATGCTATATTGTTTTGGCGGACCTCGACATACACCTCTTCCATCTGCTGTAGGCACAAACTGGCAAGGTGAGACATGATCACCTTGGCGTACCCCTTCCCTCGGTGCTCATCCAGGACATGTAGAAAGCCAATACTCCCGTTGTGGTATCTCAGGGCGTACCCTACCAAGGAGCCTTTCTCGTTGTACAGGCAGCGAGATGGTTGTTTGCTGATGAGTTCTTCTATGTAAATCTCCGAGTGTCTGCCGTCGTTGAAAGACCACCTGGTGTTGACGTGGTGGGCGTCTTCTGGATTAAGGTTTGTCATTGTATATCCCTTTGGAATGTTTCTGGAACATGAAAGGAAGATTTCACATTTTTAGCCTAACCCATTATTACATATGCAAAACGAATGATTTTAATTATGGGCTTACCATTTGATTTGGGGAGGTATGGAAACAGATGTCTTAGTTTTTAGACGATCATATTGTGTGCATGTAAATGAGGGCAATTATTATTTGAAACAAAAGTTGATTATCTGTTATTTTTCTATTTTAAATGGCTATAAGAAAATGAATTTGTTTTTTACAAGAAGAGGAAAGAATAGTGAGGCCTATTTACAGTTCTATTTTTACAGAGTTTTGGTTATATCTTTTCCCGTTATAAAACCTTCCTTCCTCCCATTGAGGTACAGAAGAAGCAAAACAGGCACAGCATACGTTTGTATGCCCATGTGGAATACCAAGGCAACAAATACATACATTATCCGAAATATAAAACAGCAGAATAATGAAACATTTCTCTGCAAATGATTCAATGTTAGAAAGACTATCCAAATATTCACCAAAAGAGCATCATATCTCACCTTACTTTCAGCGTGTCCTTTGTAACTTTCATGACAGTATACGGATCCACATAATATGTTCTGTCATTTTGACAGATCACATTGACAACTGTTGACAAAACGTCAGCACCAAAGCCTAAAACAGAAGTATCAGTGTACCTACTGGTTAAAAGTCAAACAAATGTGAAACATCTTCTGAAGGCCTCAGACACACGTTCTTGAGTTAATCTTCTTTGTCCAAAAGCTTTTAAATTTGAGGTAGCTCATGCCTCTTCCCCTAAACATACAACATCAGTGCCAGAGAATAATTAGTCTCTATTATCCTGCGATGCAGCTGGATGTAAAGGATAACAGAGCGCAAAAAAATTATCTGAAAGGATAACTAAAAATCAGTGATGACATAATGGTAATCATGTTCTGCCCTACAGGAAGTGCCGAACGCATACACACACACGCACGCACACACACACACACACACAGACAGACACACACAGACACACAGACAGACACAGAGAGAGAGCATGTAAGGAGTAAACATTCGTTTATAACCTGTAGCCGCCCCACCGTACCGACCCGTGTCTAAAGTAACCCATGCTTGTCGTAAGAGGCGACTAAAGGGATCGGGTGGTCAGGCTCGCTGACTTGGTTGACATATGTCATCGTATCACAATTGCGCAGGTCGATGCTCATGCTGTTGATCACTGGATTGTCTGGTCCAGACTCGATTATTTACAGACCGCCGCCATATAGCTAGAATATTGCAGCATTAACCCACCCACCAACCAACAATGACCAGACAATACAGAGACGGACCAGGCAGTCCGGTGGCATTGGCTGATTATTTTTAAACTAAAAACTATATGATAATTTGGAATTATGTTTGTTGCGTACACGGACAGACCTTCTACTAATTATAGAAAGTAAACAGAAAATTTATCAAACATAATATCAACCCAATTAGATTATCACGAGACTTGTGGCTGGTATGTGATCAGAAGGTAGAAGCCGTGTGTGCGTGAGAGAGAGTATACCTTGATTTGGATTATTACATTGGTTGAAGGGCGCTAGCTGACAAGGATTTGTTGGTTATGAGTTCTCAGGAAATCAAAATAAATATAAATATGTGCATATCAAGATTGTGAGTATCATTAATTAAGAAACAACACATGACATTGATTTATACACATAGAAGTCTAGGTACCTGTTGCTCTGATTTTATGCTGCCGAAACACTTCCTGAGGACAAATAGTTTTTAACTTAAAGCATCGGGTAACGATATCTAGACAAATAAAATGAGAGCAAAGAGATGAATTCGTGATTGTACATCCATATCTCGACCCCTTAAAAATCACAATTTAAAAATCGCATTTGTTGACGAGATAGCTTAATATTTTCTTAGTTTAAGAGTTAAATTTACTAACTGAAGAGATAAAACGGATAATAATCTTCAAAAGTGGAAATGATTCTGTCTCTGACACCTGTCTCTAGTATAAGACATCTTGACAGCTTTACTGATGCCTTGGGCGTTGTAACTTTTACCAAACAACTTTTAAGCAAGAAGTTTATAAAAGTGTGTGCAGTCTGTTATAATTGCATTATTTTCTCTTGCATATTTCAAAGCTCAATTAAATGCTATACCAGTCACAGCAAAAATAACTTGGTTTCTGCAATGTGGAAACCTGGTGGAAAGTGGACTGAAACTTAAGTTTCCACCTAGAATCCAGTGAGTTTCCGTTCTTTTACATTGAGTTTCCGCAATAACGGAAAATTATAATTACCCACTTTCTAAGGGTTTCCGCAAGGTTTCCGTTACCCACACTCCAACAGGTTTCCGCAAGGTATCCGTTACCCACAAGTTTCCGTTGGGTTTCAGTTAACTTTGAATCCATCAGGTTTCCACAAGGTTTCAGTTATTAATAAAACTCCAACAGGTTTCCGCAGAGTTTTAGTTACCAACTACTAGTATTCGACATAGTTTCCGCATAGTTTCAGTTACCGGTTTCAATTTCAGGTTCACAGGTTTTCATATGCGTTTCAAAGAGCCAAATTTAAACATTGTTCTTTACTCATATCATAAACTCTTGTTAAAAACAATATAAGCAATTTGTTATCATGACATTTAGTTTAAGAAAAACAGAATATATAATAAGATTCATTGTTTTATTTTCTCAACATGAATATGAATTAGCATTTAAGGCAAATAAAGATCATACATATAACTAGTAATATAGCACTAAAAAAACAGGGCAAAACATTTTGGCATAACTCAATCCAGTTTAAGAAATCATATATCATTTATAACAAAGTAGTAATTTTTCTTCAGTTAAACTTTCATTCACTTATTATCTTGAAATAGCATGTTAGATATGAAATTTATTTCTAAAATCATGCTAATGGTGAAAAATAACATTAACATACAACTTAACACAGTAATAAAACATAGCTGCATCGGACATTTACTTGCACGCCTTGGCATTCAGCCACACACACTCTATGTCACAACTATCGCCAAACATCCACTATGATATACATCATACAATAACACAACATACAGCTTACAATACAAAAATAAAATAAAAATTACATTATGAAATTGAAAATAAATTCAATTATATTGCAAGAGTTGGTCAGTTAGCCCAATAAGGGGCATCCCTGGGTGGAGATCCCTCCGGTTGATTGGATGCCTTATCCTCGTCCTCACGTTGGCCATGACGAGAGCAGTGGAGGTGTAGATTCTTTCCAAGTCCAGTGTCGTCGTATATGCCCTAAGCTTGCTGGACTCCCAGACAAAGGGGACGGAATGCAACTAATTGACATCATCTTCGTCACTCACGACTGGTGATGTCATGTCTATGGTGGGTGTTGTCGCTACCTTTTTCTTTCGTCCATCTGGCCAATCGATAGATGCAAGTCTGTTTAGGCGTTGTGCAAGTTTCTGAAAATGGTAGGTAATAACGAATTACTAGGTTATTTTGATAAATTACACAAACATCAATCAACAAGAAACTGACAATGCCAAGGATGATTTAAAATGAGTAATCCAAAAGGAAGTTTGAATAAAAGAGAACTAAATTGAACAATCACACTTTGCACTAGTTTTCTCAAAACTCAAATTATGCAATTCATCACACTTCATTGACCGAATGAAATATCTTATTTTCTAAAGAGGACACACAATCTATACAAAATTTGCTCTGAAGTTACATGCTTCCCAGTCCAGAGGTAGTAATACGTTATATATATATATATGAACATTTATTGCATTTTCTATATAGTAATAATGATACTAGTAATAGATTTTCATCAAATTGCTATATTCAATCTCTTACAGTTCGTATTGAGCCCATTTCTGGTGTCCCCCGCCGTGATCGTGCTGGAATATTGCTAAAAGCGGCGTAAAACCAAACTCAGTCAGTCAGTCGTATTGTTGAAGGCACAAGTATATTCACCCAGTAGTGACTGTATGTTTACACCATTAAGTTTTTGAGGTGTATTTAGAAGTGAATAATGCAAGACATGAATGTTTACGGATGTCAACGTCTTTATTATGTAAAAACATAATAAAGGAGTTGACATCCATAAACCTTGTCCCACACTATTAATTGGAAATTATTTACTATTTATAATGAAAGTCACTACAGATAGGTCAAAATTACCTTCACATGTTACTGCTGACCATCCTTGATCATTTGTTATACAGTCTCCAGACTCATCATCAGCTTTGCTGAAAAAAATAAACAATAACACGTTACTTTTCTTTGCATTTCCCCATTCATTCATTCGAGTTTTAAAAAAACCCTTAAACCTGCAGCGACATTTGTACCAACAAGCAAACTACAGATTTATCACTTTAGGTTATGCAATCAGTAAGTGAACGGCCTGACATAAACATCCTGATGAATGAAGTTTAGTTATCTCATGTGACATAACCTTGGAGTAATTACGGTATTGTAAAATCAAGGGGTCAGTTTGACTGCAATTTCAGACAGGTGTGAAGTTAAGATTTATTTGGTCCAATTTGAAATCATGATTAAGTTACCGGTTATTCAAATCCATTTGCAAAAAAAAGCATAATAATAAAATATTCAAAGTGAAATTATGTCTATGTTTCGTAGTACCATAAACACATACCTTCAGTAAGAGAGGGTGATCTTTTCCTCCAGGAGTAGTCGTGACACATGTTTCCTCACAACAGCCTAAATGAATAAAACAAATCCATTAATATATAATCTATTTGCTATATTTTTCAAAATTGTAGTATATTTTTAGATAGACTTATTTGACTTCACCAACCTTAGTTCGAGCAAAACCGTTTATACAGTCATGGGACTTAAATATACGTCCGTCGGCAAAATTCTCATAGACTTGCATGCTATTTTAGTGTAGCTGTGTAATTTTCATTAATTCAGTTTTCCATATTTGGTTGTCAAATTTTGCAGGTTGTTAGGAAATCATCTTGGTCACAGATACATAATTTTCCACAT